CATTGTATCAGCATAACTACATCCATACTCGGGGTTGTAATGGTAGAACTACATTTGGTCAAAAATCACACCCCTAACCAACATAGTTATACAGCTACAAAAACTGTATGTAGATCATGTCTTAGGTCACATATACACATACAGTGCTGCAGCATGTCTGGTGAAGAGCTCTCCCGTCGGCATAATAAAACCACCTCTGCGAACGGCAGAAGCTATGCTGGTGGGAGAAGCTGTCCTGCCGACATAGCACTGTGCACATGAGCACTTACGTTGATGTAACTTATGTTGCTCAGGGGGGTGGTTTATTCACACCCTTAAGTAACATAAGTTATGACATTTTGGAAGGTGTGGTGTGATTAATGGAGAAGAAAAGACAGGGCATTTGGAGGACTACAATGCTGTCCTATTGGAGATGCATTTTACTGTGTTACTGATGGTACTGGGATCAGCTGATTGGTTTGTTGAAATAATTACATTGAGTGGCTGGTGAGGAAAATAGTGTTTACAGAACCTAATGGATTCCACTTGTTGAGTTAGTGACACCTCTATTCTATTTAATTCACATATATACTTACTGTTACTATCATTTCAAGGCTGCATTTCTGGACCTGTCTTACCACAAAACATCAAGACTGCCAAGGTCATGGCTGAGCAATGCGTTTTCACTTTCCAAACTGTAAACAAATTACTTTGCCACACACTCTGTATTGCACTCTCCCCATTAGAAATACTTCTTTACATTTGCTTACCAAGCTTTTTTCCTTCTCTCAATACCAGACATTTTAAAAAGAATTATTTGTGCTCATTTCCATATTCAGTTTGCATATTCAAATCTTGGATCTTCACAAATAAAGATCATCTTTGCTGTTGACTCGTGATGATGATATTTTCTAGACATTGTATATGTGTCATATGTTACTAGGGGTGTAGCCGGATAGTCAGAGCAGGGTACTGGGAGATAGAACTGCTCAAAGCCATTGACTTCAAGCAAGACATTTGTAGCTGGTTTGTAACCCTACAATCCAGCTCACTAAAGCTCAGTGCATAATCTGGTCTCTGCTGCTTCCTCTATGCTTCAGGGGGGAAGTGATCTGTTGCAGCTCGTTTGCTGGTTCAGATAACTTTCCCCTCTGCACTGGCTCCAGTGCACAGGCTGGCAGTTGAGGGATGGACCTATGGTTCTGCCCACCCCTTGCTCCTTCTTGCATATTCCCCACCTGTCTTTTTGAGGATGGGAGTAGCACTGACAGGGTGGCGGGTGCTGCTCTCCCTCCTTGCAGGTTCTGGCAATGTGGGTGGCCCATGCAAGGAGTAAAGGAGTCCCTTAAGTTCCTTGATCTACCCCTTACATGCAGTTGAGTTCACAATCTGGACCCATAAAATGGGATTTTCAAAAGTGCTCAGTGTAGGCCTAACTTTGCTTCCTTTAAATCAGTTGGAGCAGAGTAGGGGAACAGTGGGGCATTTTTGGAAATCTCACTCTTACTCCCTCATTGCTGCAGTTTATCAATCTGTAAAATGGATATTATAGCAATAATATGTACCTAAATCCCATCATTAATGTCTGTAAAAGCACATTGCGAGCCTCAGAGGAAAGGGCCTATGAGTGCAAAGCACTGCCATTATTGTTACAATACGTGCTACAATATATCCAGAGCTTTCCTTAAGGATAAGAGTCGACTGCATTATTATTCTTGCTGAGAATCTAGAGGATGAAGTTAAAATTAAAGTATCTTCTTGTTCAGCTTTCTCTGGCTTCACCCAAGCTATCAGCACAATAGACTCGCCACTTCTTTGGTGTGTATGTGTACTGCTGCCCTCTGCTGAATGGAATCAGGCCTGCTTAGGTATCGGAGGCTATTATAACCCCAGTAATAGGGCCGGGACTGCTATTTACTGTATACTTGTACAGTGACTAGCACTATTGCTGAAACCAAGTTGTTTGTTATGGGTTTTTGTAAGAACAATACTTAGAGGCATATGATATGTCATAGTGACAGAGCACTGGACTAGTACTCAGGAGGCATGAATTCTGTACCTGCCACTAACAC